ACAGACACGTTTTAACAGCTCAGGCTCCCAATGAAATTGCAATTATCTTTGGAGTCTTTTCCAACAATAACTTTTTTTTAACGTAAGTATTTGGCCTTAACCAATTAGCTGTATGCTTACTTCTCTGTCTGCTAGTCATTTTTTGTGATTTTTTTAAAAGAGGAGAAAGCAAACAAATATATATATATATTTTAATCATCAAGCAATACCAAATGCTTTGAGATATGCATGTTAGCAAATCCAAACAATGTAAACATAGCATACAGAAACATGATTGGTCAATATATAATATATTCATATTCATATTTCTGCTTATGTTTTCACTTGAAATACAACACATCATTCACGCTTGATCTTCTGTGTATGAGCAGTTTGGATCAGGTGCTTCAGAAGCTCAGCCTTACCGAGAATGGTCGATGAAAATGTTTCCACGTGAACCCACGCACACGTCCATCCCTCCTCTATGCAATGCATGCACACACGCACACCTCCACACACACAAAGCTTGATTTTGAAGGGTCCTTAATCACAACCGAGAAACTGACTGATCAATGACAGATACGAGGGGGCTACTGTGCAAATGCTAACAGGAGCTCATTTGCTTTTAGAAATTTATTTATTCTGTTCTATTTTTATCACAGATTATATTTCTTTCGTGTGCTAACGGGCTCCGAGCCCTGCCAAGGTATTAATTAAAATCTAAATACTAAATACTAAATATTGATTGATACGTTATCAGGGCATAGCAGTTGGTCCGCAGGCTATTGATCCAGCCTGTGATTTATTATCATATTTAAGAAAAATCATTTTGCGTGATTACACGAGGTAATGGATTTTTAGCAAGGATGTAATTCTTCCCCCCCCCTTTTATTTTCGTATCGCGTTTGTTATGTGGAAGGTGGCGCAGACTTCTCAGTTGCATTCGGAGATCGCTGATATCCTAGGTACTGCACCCCCATCCCCCTCTCCCGAGCTTCCCTTTCAGCCCAGCCTGGCCTGCGAGGGACTAAAGCTTGTGTAAGAGAACGATCCCCCCGCTCTTGTCATTGGGAATAATGGGTATTGGGATTACCTCTTTAATCACAACAAAGATTAACAGATGGTATGAGAACAGTTATTAGCAAACATCTTGCACTCATCAAATCAATAAGATGATTTGTAATCAGGCTGTCGGTGCGAGTGAAAAGGGAGCCGGGGCCGTTCCCAGTGAAAGTTCCTGGCAATCAGAGGCTACTGTGTAGCAATTACCTCTCCACAAAATAGGTGCTCTTCCTCCTCTGGCTGGCAGTCCTCCAAAACACACGCCAGACTGATAGCAACATAGGGCATTAACACGGCAAAACACAAAACACTGCATGGGTAACCTTGTATTTGATCAGGTGTTAGGTTGCTGCGCGATTTCATTTCACTTTGTGCCTTTTAATTTGGTGGATCTCGCCTTGTACTTGAAGAGGGAGAAAAAAAATCTAAATGTTTACACATGCTGTCTCTCACTACAAAAGACCGTATAGCTCATTAGCGGGTTGCCATAAATAAGTCAGCGTTGGGGACAAAGAAGTGAATACTATAGAAACTATACAGAGAAGGGTTCCCTGTGCAAATATTTCTCCCTGGAGACAGAAAGAGAAAGACTGAGGGTTTGTTGACATAACGGTGCATCCAGAATGGTAAACTGAGGAATCTTCCCCACAACATGCAACTCCTTTACAGCAGTAATGTTCTGACAGCACTTTGCTTTTTTTTTTATGTCTCTGGGACGTGCGGGTGTTGAAGTCTGATATCACTGAGACAAACGCTGCATCATATTTAAGTCCAATTTATTCTACTTCTTAAGTTGAAAACAGTCTGTGAAACACATTCGTGCACAAATGCGCATCTATTTAGATACCAGTACTTAAAAGGAAAAAGTCAGGAATGGTTGGGTTTTTTTGCAAAAAGTGGCAACACGGGATCTCTTCAGCTTTACTTGGATGGATATCATTCTGATTCTAAATGCTGCTTTTAATGCTTGCAGGCTGTTTGCAAGCAACGTCACCTTGTATGCATCTTTGTAGTGGGAACAGCTGAAACAAACTGATGCAACACTGTGGACTGAGTGAAGGCAGTCACTTTGGGAGTAAAATACAGAAACACACTTGTGAGAATGTCGAAAATCAGAGGCACAGTGTAAAAATGAGTGCGTTTAAGTTTTATCTCTCTCCACAAATTTGTACAGATATTTACACACACACACACACACACACACGCACACACACACTTCTAATCGCAAACTACTCATAATGACACAAAATCTCTCAGCGTCCCACACCGACACACACACACTCACAGACACATACCTCTGCACTGTAAGATAGCACAGATATGTGCCAGGATTAAGCAAGGCAAATGGTGCCAAAACAATGGCAGTATGAAGTAACTGATGCTGTTTAAAAATTTAGATGCCTGTATTGAACAGACAATGTGGCACACACATCACTGGACCACAGATCCCTGCATCCCAATGGTCTGGTTTCTGGCTGCTCACATGCATATGGATAATCTCTTTCTAAACAACCCCACAGTCGCATCACGACCGCTACACCGCTGCGCAGACACACTCGGTAGAAAAGCTCCCGCTGCACTTGTAAACCTGAAATGGCTTTCAAGTTCAGTGAAAATCATTTTGCCACTATGATATGCGTTAAAGCACAGGGAAGCATATTTGTATACTTAAATAGAAACTTACAATCGCACAGTAACTGCAGACAGACACACACGCAGCCCCTCCCCTCGCCCACAGTCACTTGTCGAGTGGCTAATATCTTTCCAAGGTCAAACCTGACAAGGAATTCCAATGAGATTAAGTGTCATCAGTGCGGCTTTAGCCCTTTTCTGCTCATTGTTCTTGGAAATGGCATTAGAGCCACAGATGACCAAGGCCTTGGAGCAGTAAAACCTCTTCCCTTCCTGAGTGGTGGGCCTGGTTGATGCAGGAGATATTTGACACAAGGCCTCCAATTCAAACATCAAAGTGCAATAATGTTCTCACATGTATCTTTATCGAGGAAGCTTACACCAATATAAACCGATCTAGGAGCGCTGCAGTTTTATTACACGTCGACAGTGTTATTATTTCTGCATGCTGCAGAATTTGATTCAACTTTTTCTCATGTTAATTCTTAATTTTTAATTTTCAAGAGATCCATAGGTTTCAGACTCTGAGTCTGTGACTCCTTTTTATTTCAGACCTTGTAAGAGCTGCAGTGGCAAGCCAGCGTCAGTGTTTTTGGCATTCATTTAGGTGTTTTGGGGGCTATAAAGCAATAACAGAAATGTTGCTGCACTCTATATGCAGTAAATGTGCTTTCACACTTAATTTGTTCTGATGACTTGCATGCATATCTCCCCACTTTTTCATTCACATGAGGAAGTGGCTCAGTCCAGGAGATAATCCCAGCGTGTTTGTTTGTACACACTTCGAGCAAAGCGACAGCTTATGCCAGTGTGTCAAACAGCATTTTCACACCAAATTTGACACATAGTCCTTTGGCGGCAGCAATGAGCATTTTGTCATCTCCTCTCAAGTGCCAACTCGACGTCCAATTGCGGCCCAGCTACTAATTTAATTACAGTAGCAGAAGAAATGGGCTGATTCAATTCATTTCAATTAAACCTGATTGGGCCAGTCAAATCAAATTTTACTCATCTCAGGTACAAGCTGCCTGTCACATTTTATCTCAGCTTGGCTCAAATGAAGCACGATGAGCAGGTCCTGATGATAACTGGAAATATATGGTTGGGTTCTATCAAGCAGACTCATGTGCCGCCTGATCTCTGATTGTGCGATCAGTGTGAGAGCACAACACTCAATTTTCAGAGCAGGATCACAGACAGTTACCACTTAGTCAGAGTCCCAGCTACAACAGCCATTACTTATGCATGATGTCCACAATTATGTATCAAATCGTGTGCAAGTATGTGTGTGTTTAGATATCCAACTAAAAGATGTGTAGCACATAGCAAAAACTATGCAGTGTCTGCTGAAGCTGCACATGAAGTGACTTTCTCTGAACCCCCCTCAACAAAACTTAATTAAAAAAGAACATACAAACAGTTCTGCATGCCGCAATAAACTTTAGAACACAACTTGTGCTCCTATTTTTTTTTTTCATTTTAAAATAATTAATTTTTAAATGCAAATTTCACAAAGTATTAAGACATACAGTAGTATAAGGATAAAGGCTGGTGGGGGATAACAATGTGTTTACTTTATACATTTACAAGTATATATGCAGAAATTAGCTCTAGGACACAAGATTATTAAAACCTCTATAGTGACCATGCTCCAATAATTACAATCATCATAATGATGCTGTATATGTGTAGTATTATTATACTTCAAAGATGCTAAATTCTACTATTAATAATGCATTTGCCAAAACGTAATAATTTTATTTATTAGCTCTAAGACTGGAAAAAAAATCATTGCTAAATTGTAAATTATTCGTGGACTAATTACAAGGAATAAAGTACAAGTTTAGCAACAGACAATGTAAGTATAGATTGCTTCAAAAGCGTACGCAGACAATGAAACTATATAAATATTGTTTGGGTTTGCCTTCAGAGACGCTGTAATTGGGCTCATTCAGTGGCAGAAAAAGTTCCATCTCATCTCTGATTGGTGCAGATGAAGCCCTGGGATTATGCCATAGGCTGCTATAGGCTGCTACAGTAGCCTGCGGTGTGTGTAAATGCGTCTTGGCACCAGTTGCGGCGGCGCAAAGACGTCTGATTGGACACCAACGCAACGCACGCATATTTTTTTTTCATACTGCGCCACTTTAGCGGTCTAATCACATGCTTTACAACCTGAGCCACACATATAAAAATTCAATTTCTTAGATCCTCCTATTTAAAGATATGTAACGGATAACTTTAAAGCTATTATTACACAGTGATGCACAGCGGCCAAAGCGAAGCAGTAAATTCAAACTCTGGGAGTCTTTTTTTTTTTTTTTTACCTCTCTGGTGTCTTCTTCACGCTCCGGCCTCCCTCCACGATATCCGCAGTGAAAGGCAGACAGGCTCACAGCGGACTGCGGGGTGTAAGAATAGAGGAGAGGAGTTGTTACCGAAGTCTGCCTGTGCACTTTGTGATGCAGCGAGGGCCAGCGTGGAAGCCCAAGCAGCCCTTTTCTCACCTTGCGACACAGATCCAGAGGGGGTGAAACGGGTAAAAACGGTTGTTTGGGTGATTACACGTTTCTGCTCTCCCTCCTCTCCCACCCTCCTCCGCCACCATGCCCCCCCCCCTCCTCCTCCTCCTCCTCTTCCTCTTCCACCAGCAGCACCAGCAGCACTCTCACTCCTCTCTCGGAGAATAGAGAGAGTGGCCCCAGTTGTAACAGCCTCGGTGGGGCTCCAGCTCTGCAGCGAAGCAGCCTTTAAGGCTAAAGGATACCTCTGAGGCGCATCCGGTATCCGCAGTTCCATGAAACAAAAAAGTGCTTTTTTAAAAACGTATTTATGTATTTATTTGCTCGTCCACTGCACTAAATTGGAGAACAATAATATTTGACTTGGTAATTTATTTATTTTTGAAGTCAGATCAAGCTATATAAAATCACAGGGGCTCTTAGGGTTACGTAAAGCTCAGTGGAAATCAAACTTTTCAAGCGACGTGAATTCCAAAGCTGTTCGGCAGCACTGTCTGGACACCCCCTCTCTTTCCCTCTCTCTCTATAAGTGTGTGCGGTGTGTGTATGTGTAGTCTATACCGGATTAAATGGCACCGCGTCTTAAATGGCACCTTGCCTCGTTTCCCCTCTCCTTTCATCATCAGCAAAATAAAGATTAGGCCTACAGAGGAGATTGTAACGGCTCGCCTTTAGACGCGCGGGGGATCTTCATTCCTCCGCCTTTGTGATGATATTGATGATGATGATGGCCAAGTGGACAGTTTGATTTTTGTGTGGCGAGCTAGTTATAAAGAATCAATATTATATCAAGGGGGTAACTTTGGTGATAAAGGACTTCAGCCACTCTGGCTATTCATCATAAGTCTGTAGCAAGCAGATAGGTCAAAAGAAATTATATTGCTCTAAAGAGTGTGTCTCCTTATCTCTCAGTACCAGGGGAGTGGAGGACACGCCGATCGATACAGTAGCTGCCGTATACTCCTTGCAATTATCAATAGCTGATTTTGTCTTCCTGGGGCTGCATCTATTAATACCAGATAATAACAGCCTTTTGGACATAACTTCAAAGGGGATGATGGAAAGAGATGGAGAGGAAGAAGAAAAGGGGGGGGGGGGCACCGAAAGTTTGCTCACAGGACGACCTTGTTGTCAACAGATTTGTCTCTCATATGAGGTGGACGCGGGGGAATAGACAAGTCAAACAGACAAGAGGGAGGGAGAGGGAGGGGGGAGAGCGGGGAAGCTCTAACTGAGCTCACCCATGAACTGAAAAAAGCTGAAGATCTATCATTACAGTAAAAAGGTTTCTAATTTAGTCAGGAATTGGCAGCGTTTGTGCGCCTGAAGTCGGAAACAAGCGCGATTATGATGTGCCTATTTTCCACATCCACTTTTAACGATGCAATATGAAAATACATTTACCTTAAGCTGGCAATACGGAAATAAACATGAAACCGTTACTTCTGTTAAATAAATAAATAAATAAATAAATAAATAAAACGCAGTGTTCGCATGGCACTCAAGCACGAGCTCATTTGGTTCCTTTCTCCCCACCGTGCATGCGTACATTTTAGTGCAAAATTATAATTAATTTCTGTATTTATTTTAACTGTGTGTTGAGGGAAAGATGTTTTAATTATATGCTGTATGATGTGTACTCTGACACACTTTACTTATTCATATTCATATTATTATTATTGTGTTCTTTTGCAATATTTCCCCAATATTAGTGTCGGTACACAAATCAAAAAGCAGCCCACATGTTCAAAAACCGCCACCGTGCGTAAAACGTCCACATTCCAGAATCAAAGTTAGAATAAAGCCGGGGTGTTGTGATAAAAAGCCTACCGTGTAATCAGAAAATCGCCGATGTCACAAAATAAAAATACTCTGCCGCATTAATATGATGACCCAGCCTTCTGGCGGATACGGGCGGTGACGGGTGAGATATTATATGATGGGAGGTCAAATCTGGGTGTTCACACAGAAGTCTGTGGACGATCCATTGAACAGTAACGTGGTGGTACATCCTAGTGGTGGCTGAAAGCAATGGGCTGAACCCCTGCTTGGGGGTTGACTCTCACACACAGCGCAGTCCCCCACACACAGAGCCATGCCCAACAGCGAGAGACCGACCGACGCTGCTAGAGGGCTGCCAGAAGATAACTTCAAAGTTGGTTTCGATATGAGAGCCGAGCGAAGGAAAGACACCGAGTAAAGCTTTAGTTTTTTTCTTTTTGTTTGTTTGTTTTGTTTTGGTTTGGGGGGTTTTCGGAAATCAAGTGGTGCTTGGGGGTTTTTTGACCAGCAAATATCCAGAAAAGACGCTTTTGGAGAGCGCACCGAGCCGAGGGCGCATACACGGCGAGAGGAGGTACACGGGAGGAACTTCGTCGCGGTCAGACACGCACCGAAGCGACTTCTCTTTGTCGGACACACGAGTGTTTGATCACACAGACGTTCTTGTTGTTACTGAGAGGAGCACTGTTGCTAATCTTGGCGCCGTTCTCTCGGAAGACGCGCGTCAAAGTTTGGAGAGCGGAGCTGCGCCTTTAGAAAAGCAAAAGCTGGTGGCAGTTTATCGCTCTATTGCAAATAACTTAACTCGTCCCGTCCACTTCTCCTTGCTGCCGGTGCCCGTGTAGCAACTCAAACAGCGGCTGCTTCACCGGGAAGATGTCCACCGACAGAAATCTGACACATCTCGACTTTAGACGTCGCTTCCTTTGAGTCCGATTCAAGGAGTTGCGTGTTCACCTCGCCACACGCACAGAACAAGAAAAAATAAATAAATAAAAGAAGTTAGAGAGAGAGGCGCTGCGAGAACTGAGCCAGTATCTCGGGACAGACTTAACGAGAAAACGTTTTCTGAAGTTTTGCGGTAAACGATGGATCGTTGAGGCCAGGGAGAGACACTTCGTCAAAGAAAAGAAGGAAAAAAGAAGAAAGCGCTGGTGAATCCTTAGTACTTGTGAGTCAGTGCGCTTACTCAAAGGAGTAGGGGGCAAAGGAGCCCGGCGTCCCCCTCGTTGGAGACCCCATGTGAACTGGGTATAACAAGAGATTTTGGTGTGTTGTGTTGTTTTGTGTTGTTGGGGAGGTGGAGGTTGGATAGTAAAGACAAAAGAGACGGATAAAGTCTGAGAGTGAAGCGGCTAATTGCTTAGTCCGTCCCTCATTACCATATCCAATGCGCGTCCATTGGCCTCCAGCCAATCCTCCCCACCTTCACACACTGCCATTAATCGCGAGGCATTATTCACTATCATAATTATTATACCGACATGCGCAATCCAACGCACAGCAACAGCAGCGGCAGCAGCAACACCGGCTAATTTCAGATTTATATTTTTTTCTCTCCTCCTCTCTCTCTCCGCCACCAGACTGTTTGCGAACTTTTTGTGTGTTGATTCGCTCTTCGCTGATGTATCTGCAAAACGCAGACACATCTCGGAGCGCAAACGCAGCAGCATCGCCACCACTAAAGCCAGCAGCATGTCCCGACGCAAGCAAGCCAAACCGCAGCACCTCAAGTCGGACGAGGATCCCGCACTAGCCGGGGTGATTTCCGAGCACGGTGAGTGGATTTGATCAGCTGAAGTTCCTTTAGCCTGATCTGCTTTCAGAGCTTCCCCTCGCAGCTCCGCTCTTCAATTTACGTTTGTTTCTTTACTTTGTTTGACAAACGTTTTAACACATTCTTTTCAATTAAAGAGGTTTAAAGTCATTTGGATTATTATTATCATTAGTATTATTATTATTTTGTTTTTGTTTTTTTGTAGTGGGGATAGTCGATTTATTTCATAGGCATAGGCGGAATCATTTGCAATAAATCAAAAAACGATGCGAATATTAAGTCAAACGTGTCACCTTAGTCGAAGAGGAAGTCTGACGATTTAGAAGTTTTGTGTCTGTTTTGTCCCCCCTCCCTCCCTCCCCCAAAAAACTGTTAAACCTGCATCATATGATCGTCTTTTGTCAGGCAGGTTAATTTTAATAATAGTAAAGAGTTTACATTTTGGTTACAGCGTCTACATTAGGTGCCGGAGGCCCATTTTAAAGGCCTGTTTAAAAAACAAAAATCTCGGAGCTGTGTTCTTCTCAAATAGTGTATTTCAACACTTTTGCAGTTGGCTTTGGACATGCACGCGCACGCGTAGAAATGCAAGCACAACTGTAACAAACACACGAAAGAAGTTGGAAAATTATTTGGCTTTTTTTTTTTCTCCCAGAGGTTTAGAATTATTTATTCCGCAGATGTGAAAGCAATGGGTCATAATATATATACATTTTTTAAACACTTCATTTAAAAAGCCGTTTAATTTATACGTTTCTATTTTTTATTTTTTATCTTGTTTTTTTTTTTTTTTGTTTAGTTTTTTTTGCATGTGTGTCTCTTGTCCCTGAGCGCCTGCGGAATCTGTTGCAGGTCGAAGACTTGTTTTGTTATGGAAATGCTTTTTGTTTACCCCCACCTCCCCACCCCACATAAATTTAGCACACTTGATTTGTTCCTTTTTGCGCACAGTATCGACAAGATCGGTTGACAAAGCTCGTCTTCGCCATGTGGGGGGAAAAAAGGATTATTTGTCCTTTATACTGCGCTTTTGCGCAGCAACACTATCATTATAGGGCTAAAGTCAGGTCCGAAGGCAGATGAAGTGCTGCAGGAATAATATGATTGGATTTCTACAAAACAAAAAAACGTACAGAGCACAAGTCCCACATTATTTGGCAGATTATTATTGAAATTGTGGCAAAATCTAACATTTAAAAAAATCTTTTTATGTATTGGAAATATGAGAATAAGACAAAATATATCAATTTACTGCAGCATATCTTAACAACAATACTGTAATTTACTTGAAAACTTAAAAAAAAATCACAATTTGTCAATTTCATTTCTCTTATTTAAACTTAGAAAGCTGTGTGTGTGCGTGTTTATGTTTGTGTGTGTGTTTTGGGTATCAGTGAAGCTCACAGCTCTCAACAAATCACTGCTATTATTTATACCTTTCTATCTTGGCCCATGTTGGCCAACACTCACACCCAGACGCAGACACCCACACAT